GCGACTGAGTCATCTCTCGCTGCTCATTCATCTCTCGCTGCTGAGTCAGCTCTCGCTATAGCCATCTCTCGCGGCTGAGTCATCTCTCGCGACTCAGTCATCTCTCGCTGCTGAGTCATCTCTCGCGGCGTGCAGGTTTGGCACAGTCCATACTGATAGTATTTGGTTGCATTTATGCAGGACAGGACATTCAACTGCTGGTCAATACACCACTCATCACACACACTGATCCTGCAGGGGGCACACACCTTACACACGTGGAATCCCGTGGGTCAAAAGTCCGGAGCGCGTGCGTTTGACTGGAGGACGCGCATGTTGGAGAGAACGTGGACACTCCTATAGGTCAATTTGTTCTTATAGGAAACTTCCGCCGCCGGCTTGCCCGGGAACTGCTTGTAGACGCTTGATTGGTTGAATGATTGATTGCGCAGATTGAATTCACGATTCAGAATCAATTGAGTCACCAACCCAATAGGGGGCGCAATAGTTCCGTACTCCAGAGCTTAGCGTGTGGTAAGATGGTCGGAACTACCTTGGCATTCGAGCAGGCAGCTCAGGAAGCTCGGGAACTGTTTTCGGACAACAAATTGCAAAACCAAAATCAAAGACCTCAAAACAGCTCAAATCATGGATTGGTGTACAGCAGACTGGTGCGTGCTTGTTGGGACTCGACTCACTGACTGGGAAAGATACGCAAAGGCTATTGTCGGCTTACCCTCAGACTTGTAACGATCGTTCCATAGCTTGACGAAGCATGCCACCTCGACATGGCCAGAGTCAACCGTAGATAGATAGATAGATAGATACTAGTAGTACAGTCTGTACAGTCAGTCCAGTTTTAGTCGCAGAGCATGTAAAACCACGCCTCCTGTTCCCGCTCCGTCAAGGTGGCAAAGAACTGGGATGTTCCAAACTCTGGCGGGTGAGCCAAGGGCCACTTCACTGACAACGTCTCTGCTAAGTGAGTAAGCTGTTCAACCCATTGAGCTGTTGCAGCTGAACTTCCTGTACTGGTCTCGGAGTTTTTGGTATCACGTTTCTCAGCTACAGCAGCACGTCTCTGAAGTTCTTTGATCAAAGCTGGGTGCGTGTCAGGCAGGAGGAAGTCGGCCTTGACTCATGAATGAAGCTTGACGTGGAAAGAAAATCAACAAAGCAACAAAAGCTTCCCCGCACTTGCACGTTGCAAACATTGCAAACGAAACCAATTTGTAGACGGAATTAGATGGACTTGGTAAAAAAAATCTGGGACTTCGGCAACTGGACTGCATTCTGAGCTTGCCATAGTCTGCAAACGAGATGGAGTCAGCTCTGCTAGAGCCGATGCACTTTGAGCAAAATCCACAGAACTCCGGAAACCAAAGATATAGTATCTGCTACGCCGCTGTGGAAGCCCATAGTCTGACGACTTAAGCTTCCTGGCACAGCAACTGTAGCCCAGCTCTTTCAAATACTCCAACACCATGGTCAGATTCGATTTGTGCTGCCTAAGTTGAAATTGAAGTGCGGGAACTATATGATTCACCTTGCACTGATAATTCAGACATTCACAATCACCTGAACTGCGTAGGCGCAAACACCTAGTTAAGTTAAGTTACGCGGAATCTTGGTCATCTCCCCCCGATGTGGCTGCATCAATGCTGTCCACATTCTCAAGAATCAGTGCATGAGGCTGCGCTGTCCGCAATATGGAAATAACTCCTTTGAATGTGGCAGTGGAGCTACATTCCTCAGTGTCCACAGTTTTTTGTTCGCGTTTGCAGTTTTGTGATCATGCAATCATGGTTCACAATATTTATCAATATTTCACAATTGTTCCGATTCCACTGCTCATAGCCCAAAGAAGTATCAGTATCATCCTCCATAGCAGTTTTGAGCACCGAAAAGTCACAATTCATTTTGGAAAATGACCTTGGACAAAATGACTGATTGTTTCCTTTTGGCTTACTTGCTGAGTCACTGAGTACTGACAATGCAAACTCAGTCTCAGGGCCGAACTTACAGGAAAAACCTGCGACAAACAAGCCAAACAGGGTGTTGTTGGCTGTGCAATCTGGAAGCTCCTCAGAGTCAAAGTTGGCTTGCATCGTTGCGCACGGTTTCCACTTGTGCTCTAAGCTCCACAGCCGACTAAGAGGGCCACACAACTGGTTCGATGAGTGAGGCAGGAACGATTTTTAGGGTCATCAACCTTGGTGATGTCGTCGAAAAAGCAAGCAACATCTCGTTCCTGCCAACAGCAGGACTGTGCTACCCCAATTGCCAATTGGTTTGGTTTTCTCCTCTGGAGGGATCACGTGCTTCATGACAAACTTCTGCTTGTTCTGAACAATCTCGCGCATGAAAGATCGTTCCACCTTTCATCACAAGAGAAGTAGACGACTGAGAAGACAGCGAGACAAAACAAACAGAGAAACTTGACTCAACTCTACACAATTCAAACGATCCTACATGTGTTCCCGACCCTGACCTCAAGCTCGCAGCCGAACTGTTGGTTCAATTCTTTGACTACCACCTCAAGTACAATTTCCAGCATACCACTCCCAGTGCAGGCTGTCATGGTCAAGATCGTTTTGGGTAGAGCTTCCACCACCATTGACACGGAGTCCTTTCCAATCGCAGCAATAAGCTTGCCCAGCTGCGCCTCACAGTCCATTGTTGGTGAGTACGCTATAATGGTATACAGTATATGGTATACAATATAACTTAACGGTTTTACGGTATACAGTACAGTTTTTTCTACAGACTGTAGCCTTGTCATGTCCATAGTCTTGAGTCTGAGTCTCAGTCTTAGTCCAGTCAAGTCTCAGTACTTAGTACTACGCAAGAACAGCAGACACAAACTGAGCCTTCGCATGGGATTGGAGGAAGGATGAATGCTTTGCAGGAGGTTCAACGCCATCCATGTCAGCCTCCACATCCATGTCAGCGTTGTCCTCTTGCGCAGGAGCGTCCTTGTCGCTGTTTGTCTCAGCCTCGTCCTTGACATCCATCTGAGGATCCATGTCAGGAGCGTCAGCGTTGTCCTCTTGCGCAGGAGCGTCCTTGTTGCTGGTCTTGACATCCATGTCCTTGCTCTGAGTTGGCTCTGCGTTGGGAGTCTCCTCCTGCCATCCACTATTGCAACCAGAGCGGAATAGACTCTTTGTTCCTGTGAATCCTCGAAAGATTCGGTTGAATCTTCCACTCCCCTTGCCCCAGGAATAGTGGCACTCCCAGCTGCTTCTTCCACTACCCCTGCCCCAGGAATAGTGGCACTCCCAGCAGCCTCAGGCTCCGGTTCCACTTGTCCTCCAAAAGGTGGGGTCACAGGAATTGATTTGGCTTGAGCGTGAGCATCTGAACCCTGACCATCAGCATTTGCCTCAACCTGTGCTTCGACTTCTACATTGGATGGGGCGTCGCATGGACAATCTGGCGGCGCTGCAGCATCTGCTGGTAGTTCTTCAGTGGGAGCTGGTTGCACCATGTCAGCCTCAGGATGTGCTTGATCTTGCGCTGAAACATCCGGTGTTGGCATTGGTGTCATGGCTCCTGCCTCATCCACTGGAAGGAGATTTGTAGGGACTAATGTGGTACTTGAAGAGGCCAAAGCACTCGAGCTTTCTTCACATTGTTCTGGAAGTGTCGTGGTTTGCCCACAGCCTGACAAATGGAATAATACCAGTCTCAATCCAAATACTATAAATTAGACTAAATGTAATGATGAAACTAATATTGCAGTCTGAAACATATCAGACCATAATACCTTATCATCTACAAGTTGCGATGTATGTCCAGAACCACCCCCACCCCCACCCAAACAATGCAACTCCCAGCCTTCCATACTCTGTCTTCACCTTTTGGGTAAATTTTGCCCAGAACTGGACGCCAGAAGGATTGACTTCCTTTGGCAAGGGTGAGTCAGCAGCCTTTGCTCCACGGCCGCGGCTGCGGCCAACACCACGACCACGCCCTCGGGTTGGGACTGGGACAGGAGTGACACTACTGGAATCCTCAGAAACTTCATCCGCGTCCGCGACACGAGCTTTTGCCTTTGGTGTCGGCGGAAAAATGGCTTTGGCCTTGGGGCATCTCTTAGGCTTTGGTTTTGCTATTGTCTTGACTGCCCCTTTTTTCGGTGCCATTGTGGATGGAAAGCGGAAAGCGCTGGCTGGAGCTGGAACTTGAACAACGATGTGCTTCAAATCCAAATACAGACATAGAAATCAGAAATCAGAAATCAAGACACTTGACACTCACCTCCTTTCCGATAGAAATCAGAAATAGAACAACACACTTGACTCAAACAGTCGAGTCGCATGTCACCTCCTTTCCACGCTGCTTAAATCTAGTCTAGAGCTCGGAGTGGTCTTTTCCCATTGGGAGTCTGTACTATGCATACCGCCACTTTGGAATTGCGCAAAAGCTACATGGACATGGAAGCCACAGTCCACAGGAGCTCCAGTCCACCCCAAATGCTCAGCCAAGCTGCGCAAAAACGACCCTATGGCCTATGACTGTAGCCAGTTTGGATTCACAATACAAAAGGGCAAATTGACATCTGTGTACCGATGTCGTGATTCAAAGCACTAAACAAATTCAACTGTATGTTGTTGAATTCCTCATCCAAGATCACACTTGCCAGATGTTGAAAGTATCACTTCGCAGCCAACAGCTTTGTTGCGATATCCTGCACATTAGGAGGAATGTCCAGCATGTACTCCTTTGCAATGCTCATAGACTCCTTCACCGCAGAAATGACTTTGTCTGCTGCCGCTGTTTTACCCTTCAACGACTTCTGAATGGATTTGGAAACCATGCAACTCAGCAAGTTCCCTGTCGTCCTCAGTCAGTTTGTTGCAGGTAGGTGTGCCGAAATACATTCAGAGTCTGAAATACATTCTGATTTCGATTTATGAATACTATATTCCATTGATATGATTTGATATGATTCGATATGAACCATACTAAGAGGCCCGCATCCATGATAGACATGCTCTCCACATTGACTCAAGGGCCTTGAAGTCACTGCAAAATCCAGCACACAAGAAGTCGGTTGTGACTTGCAGGCTCTTCGAAGTATCCTTGATGTTATTCATGCATTTTTCCAATGCCACAGTGGTATCAACCACTGCCTTGTTCAACTTGTTGTTGAACGTCGCTCCCACCTTCCCTGCCAGTTTCACCAGCTCGTTCAAATCAGCAGGCAATTTGAGCTCATGAGGGACAGCAAGCTCTGGAATGTTGATGAGCTTGAGGTCATGTGTGATGCCAGCCTGCATGATCATGTTGAACTGTTTGGATTGATCGACCAGCCATGTCCAAAAAGCAATGGCTTGGTCGAGCAGCTCCTTGGAATCCACCTCTTGCATCTTGGGCAATACCTCAAAGAATTTGATCAGAATGGCTTTGACGTCAGCATCATCGCCTCCATTCTGAAGATTGATCTTCCCAATTGCTGTCACCTCAGCAGGATCCAAGACTACTTCGTCACCACTAGCACCACGCAAACGTGGATTGCAGAAGCACTGGTTGCCCGTGACGATGAGGTCCACAATGTTCAAGCCTCTGCGAACAAAAGTGCCATCATCACCCATGACACTTGACAAGCGATAGGACTTGTCCATGTTGTTCTTGAACTCTGCCAAAGCATCGGAATCCACGAGACGCTTCTCCTCTGATGTGAACAGCTTTTCGGCAACAAACTTCAGGCAAAGCGACACACATGACACTGTCTCTGAACTGACTTGACTGCCAAGTGGACCATTGGCAGCTTTGCCAGCATTTGCCAAACATTCAGAGAGATCTTCCAAGAAGCCGTCACACTCTGCAAAGGCTCCCTCGCAAAACTCTTTGGTCATCGTGCACCATCGCTCAAAATCTTCCAAGCATTTCTGCACATCTTGGACTCCTGATGTCTTCGAGATGGATGCATTGATTCGGGGCACAATGGTCGACAACTCCTCGAACGCAGTCTTGGCCATGGAGTGGATCTTGGTCCAGCAACATGGGAAACAAGATTCATGATTCAAAGGCGTTGATTTGATCGATCTGCTCTCAGCCATGGAATCTGTCATCTTGCCCAGGAATGACACAAGGTCATCTGACATGCTCGCATGGATTGCCACCCAAATGGAATCATCCAATGTAGCCAGAAGAGTCTTCAGATGTTCTTTGTCAGAGCCCTTCAAATTCTTGGTGTCTGGATCTTTGGCAACCTTGAGTGCATCAGCGAGCCTCAGATATTGTTGGTTTCGTTGGACAGGGGCCCAACAAACAAACTCGTGAAATTGGATTGACTTGAATGGCAGCCAAGAAACATTTTGCCATAGGTATTGTCCAGGGTCATTGTCAGCTGATCTACCTCTGTGACGGCTTGCTCTTCCAAATCAGATTGCGCTTTGGGGATCTTTTCCAAGATGCCGTTCTGCTGTTCGCGGTTTGTAGCATTCTCTAGAGCCAATTGCACAGCTTTCTTCCCCTTGTCAAGCTTGAGTGCCTGTGCCAACCAATGGTCAGACTTGCCCAAAAACTCACCGCTTGCCTGAACCGAGGAGGGGATGGAGGCAACGTCCATAATGGTAATCACAGCCTGCAACACCCTGCTATGATCCACATCAGCAGCGAATAAATTGTCGTCATCAGCCATGGCCTTCTTCATCTCTTGCAGGAACTTCATGAAGTATGGCAAATCTTTTGCCGGTTCCTTCATTTGAGTCTTAACTGGTCCTTTCAGCATTCGTTGCGCTAGCTGGCTGGCAAGGAGGCCGAAGTAGCATTGACCATCCTCATCACCAAGGTGCTTCAGGCAAGCCTGATTGATGGAGCTGAAGAAAGGATCGAAGCTTGCTGTCTTTAGATCCTGTCGGCGAATCAAATACCATGAATTTATCTATTTTTAGTGAACTCGTTATATAACATGATACTAGTAAACTCGTTATATAATACAACTAACTCGTTCAATATGGTCCTCAAACGCTGCAGCGCGCAAGGCCCGTTCCCAGATTGGTTTGGAAACATCAGTGAAAAGATCGTTGCCGGTGATGCTCTCATAGATTGAGCTGCCCAAGGATTGACAAGCTTCTTCAACAAAGTCTGAAGTCCGGTAAGTTCCGCCACGATGTTGTCAAGCTCCCCAAACAAGAAAGTTGTATCAGAGGTCCTTCTGCGCAAAGACTTCTTCTTGCCAAGGACACCAGCTTTGAGGTCATTGACCTTCTTGGTCCTCTCTTTGATCCAAACCACTAACGCAGCATCATCAGATTTGTCAGCGTCAAGCTTCATCACTTCAGCCAGTTGTTTTTTGTAGGACTCTACCAATGTGTGATCCTCAGAAGTGCCTTCAATGCCGGTCTCATCCTCAAACATGGGTGGTTTCGGTGTCGGAGCGGTGTTCTCTCCGATCTTTCTTCTCTTATTCGTTTTTGTATTGGACGTAACTCCACCTGGACCTGAAGCCGGAGTTTGACCTTTTGGCTTCTTGATGGGCTGGTTGGCACTCAGTGTAGGCCCACCAGGAGCAGCTCGCTTCTTTTCCTTGGCCAACCTACCAAGAAGTCCAAGATACTGTTGCGGGTCCAAGTTCTCATCGTTCTCATCATCGTTCTCATCACCTTCACCTTCACCGCCTTCAAGATCATCGGGCTTTCCTCCCACATGATCTGGAGTAGTGTCCAAGCCACATCCGTCGGAAGAACTGGCAATTCGAAAACGCATTGGAAGGGCTTGGGTTGAATCAACAGCAAAGGCAGACTGATTCATCTTCTTCAGAGCGGACTGATGCATTGTGTTGATCTGCTCTGCTCCAAGGGAAACATCAGGATTGTTCAATCGGGTTGTACGGTTCACCTTGTGCAGCTGCTCGTCCACATATTCATAGACACCAACATCCTACAGCGGAGTGTGTATACGGAGTTCAATCACTAGCTGCTAGCTCTTAATAGTTACAGTAGTTGACGTTGAATGTTCTGACTCTGACTCAAGTTTAAGCTTTTTGAAAATCACAGTCCTCTTCGGCTATGACATCAACACCCCGCACAACAACACCATTGTAGATCTGTTGCTTGATTCGATCCTCTGGCGCTTGCCCGAAGCGTCGCTCATAGGCTGAGAGTTCCATGAACTTGGTCTTTGGCCCACGTAACCTGTAACACGTTCCTCTTGAATGTTGAGTTCTTCCCTCAAAGCCGCGCTCAATCTCAAAGAAGGATTTTCAATCTTGCGTGCCAGCAACACACCTCTTTGCGCCAGGAACTTATGATTTGCCAATCCAACTTCTTGTCAACTGCCGTGATGGTGATGTGCTCCAGCAACCATCCACCATACTCCACTGTCTGCAGGCTTGTGAAGTAATTTTCATCTATGAACAGTCAAGTACCCCATACCCGTACCGCACCCCATACCCTGTACCCGTACCCTTGTAATTGTACCCCATGCCGCCCCGTACCCGTACCGTACCCCGTACCCTGTACCGTACCCCTGTACCTGCCCCTATGCACCCTGCACCCTATGTACCAAATCTGCTGCTAATCCAGATTTCTGGCAGAAAAGTATGATTAGTGGCAGATGTGGTACATGGTACATAGATATGGTACATGGTACATGGTAAATGGTACGGGGGTACGGTACAGGGGTACGGTACGGGGGTACGGTACGGGGGTACGGTACATGGGTGTACAGTATGGGGTACAGTATGTGGTACAGTATGGGGCACTGTTCAGGATCACAGTAGGTAGACAATATTAATATAAACATATATGCTCAGTGCCGGAATTGTATGTGTCGTTTTCGTTTGATTGCTTGCAACTTCCCCACCTTGCGACATATGTAGCAGTGGTTGCCTTGCGGTGATTTGAGATTGCCACTCTCCCATGCCACCAAAATGCCCCAAGCACTTTCAGCAGCTTCGGATTGGTCATATTGGCACCTCTCAGTCGACCAAATACCACACCGTTTGCACTTCTTCGCCTTGTAGTCCTTACCCAAGCTGAGATCCACCGGAACAGGTGGAGGTTCAGTCAGGCCCTTCATCACAGTTGTGGCGACAGAGCGAGGCATGTCCTCTTGCTCGCTGAGTTTCGTGGATCGTGAAGTTGAAGCAAAAGGAACAAAGAATTTTGCGCCCACCGATCCTCCTACTAGGTTGCTGGTTATTGCGCCGAATCAGCCACGGATTGATTATCCGATTCACCACAAAAAGCACTCATGTTGACTACAAGAGTAAAATGAACACAATCGAACTGCAGGCAGCAGAGAGCTTTTGATCAAACAGATGTGTCCCCCTTCTATGCACATTCAGCTGTTGTATGCAAATCCAGCTGTTGGTTCCCTCTTCCAGCGTCTAGCGCTAGACCAAACATCGCCAAACATGCAGAATAGTCTGCATGTTTCTGTGACGACTCCCCAACTCTAACGCAGAAAACACGATATTATTCAAAGTGATACCATGTAAATATAAAATAACAAATATAATATAAATATATATAATATAGTCTCAGAGTCTCAGGTTCAACTCGGCCAGCGAGAAAGTTTGTTTCTCGCCAACATTCGCCAACAAGAACAAATTTCAATTTCAAATTCCTGGACCTGTTCCAAGAAAAGTGCTCAGCCTAGGCGCATTGGCATGGAATGGAATGGACATGAAAAACTCCATCAGGTCAGGAACACACAGGAATTCAGTGACTCTGACATATATTTGGCACAGCGGACTGACTAAGGTTTTAACTGAGCCAGGTGGGTCTTTGAATCCTCCCTGTCAGGGAGTTGACGGCCAGCCTCCAGCCAACTAAGAATGAACCTCTCAGAATTCCCTGGCAGCTTCTTAGCTGAAATCATCTTTGTGCACCCTTTATGCATTCCTTGGTAAAGCGCAGCGGAAAAATAACACATTACATATTTAATGCACCGGCGCAAGCAAGACGTAGAGAACAAATACAATAGCGGAATTTGAAGCGGGCGTCCGCAACGGATAGAGACAGAGTGCCCAGGTTCACCGACACGCAACTCTGTGATTCTTCCTCAGACTGTTCTGGTGCTTTTTATAGGTTTGATTCAACAAACAAACACGCAGCAGCGCAATACAACATGAGGCCGCCGCCAAGAGGGTAAGGCTTCTTTGTCTCAACGGAATAGATCCAACAGTATCCCTTTGTGTCTCTCCACGGCTCAACAAAGCTAATGATGGGAATTGGGCAATCAGCATTGCCAGCAGTGGCAGTTGAAGAGCTGGCTGGGCAAGCAAGTGAAGACTTCTTTTCAGGCAACGGCAACGGTGGAACTGGTCCCAATTGTGTTGAAAGAGCTGATTCCCATTGGTCCATGAGTTCGCCATCAGCAATGTCACTGGAATCTTTGGATCCCTCTCCTGCATTTTTCAGTTGCTGCCGCTGCTGTTGCTGTTTGTCTGTAGCAATAGCGGGCGGCGCCGACTTTGCCCGTTTAGTGCTTGAAGGTTGTGTGACTTTGCTTCTTCCCCGACCTCTACCCCTGCCTCGCGCTCGTGCTTTGCCCAAGGCGACTCGCAGCAGCTGCATCCTTTTAGCGACATCTCCATTGGGACAGTCATCATCACTTGACGACGATGGTTCATCAAGCATGGCAGTATGTTCATGGTCAATCATCTGAGTGACACGGATCTCGCACAATGAATTTGCAATGTATTGTGCAGTCTTGAAGCGAACCTGCTTACCAGTGTGTTCCAAGGAAATGTTGTAGATGCAGCAGTTCAGGGTGTAGAACTCTGGCAACCCATTTGTGATTTTCACGCAAGCAGTCTGCTCTGAGTTCCAAGTCCATCGCATGGCAGTGGCATCCAGAGGAGAGAAAGACAGCCTGACAAGAAAGTACAGGTCCAATTTCCTTTCCTGATCATCTGGAAGAGATTCAACCAAGATCAAGGGAGCGTGATCCGGCCGATACCCTTTGTCTCTGCGGACAGATCGGAACAAGCGCAAGGCGTTCTTTGCTTGGTTCAGCAGAGTGTGGAACAGCACCGACTCTGGTTTGTCAGCTTCAATTTGCATTCTACACATCCCTGGACCGAGCACGCATTGACAGTGGGCCTGATCTATATCCGACTCATTGTCCTCTGGACCAGTGTGCTCGATGATTCTTTGGTGCTCTGCGCGGAATTCGGAATGGCTTTGCTTTACCCAGTTTCCTTGGCATTGGCTCCTTGCCAAATCAACCTGCTTTGCTGATATTGCATAATGTTCATCTGCCAAGGATGCAAGATTGTGAATGTTGCTTGGAGCGCAGTGGACCAAAGAAGTTTGAGGAACATCGACCGCAGCAAGCTGACCCTGTCTTGAACTCTTGTTCACCGAAACAGCTTCCTGCTTCAACCTCCCTCTGTCCTCACAACAACCACTCAACTAAATTACATCACATCCACCAACACATCTCACACGTCGACTTCGACAAACAAATTGTTTGAAGATTGACGGTTTGAAAGTCAAATCAAAGCATCACTCAATGAAAGTCCTCGAGATCTTGTCTCCAATGGTTTGTTGCTTCTTGCCACACTCGCTTTCTGGATTCATTTTTGGACTCACCAGGCAAAGTGACCTGCTACAGGCTAGGGAACATATTTAAGTATGACTCGACCGCTGGTTTACCTCCACAGTAAATGAAATGATGTCTGGACTCTCAAGGCCGCACACGATTCTCAAGGCACTGCTTCATGTAGAAGGTGTAGCCGTTGTAAGATCGGATGCCAGGTTCTCCTCCTGGCCAAATACAGAGTGAAAGTGCAGCAACGCTCTCACACTCATACTTTAAACTTTTAACTTGAACCTGCCTGTTGGCGATTGGGTCTTCAACGATTCAACGCACTGCATTTGGTGGTCACGCTGTATTTCGGTGAGGATGAACTTGGAAACCTTGAGGCTGAATGATTGCTGAATACTTGCTGGGTGATCACTAAACTAGCCGAGATGCAACCGAATCTATCCCATGCGAATTTCCTCTGCGCACCCTTAGACACCGCAATGCAGTTGGTTGACAGAGGCTTGTTTAGGCTGCAATGCAACTTCTACAAATCCAATCAAGTAAAAGTAGCTTTCATTCATTCATCAAACTTCAGTAAGCCCCCGTCGCCCTTTGGCTAGCAGCACGTGCAAAGTTGCACTCGACTTCAGCGTTGGACAGCTTTCTCATCCCTGATGTCTTGACCTTGGCCAGTGAAAGTGATTCTCACTAGGCACTAGCGACTGCAAAAACAATCTCAGACTATATATAAGTTACTATAAGTTATACCAAATCGCACTAAATTCAATTTTACATACCTCAACCCGTTGACCTTTGACATTGAAATGTGTGCCAGCCTGTGGCTCTGTCTGTGTTTGGCAGGATATCTTATTACTAATTGTTATTACTACATGATATTAGACATCCTAATAGTTTGGGACCGTTTGTTTCCTGTTGCTGCAATCTCTTGCCAGCTAAGACCCCAGCAACATTATGCAGCATTCCGTTTTGGCACAGTGCAGATGGCTGCGACTGTGTGTCCTAACGCGTGCATTTGTATCATTGTAGATACATACAATCATATATGCAGAAAAAACAGCTCTTCACTGGTCACTTGATAATAAACAAGCATCAATGGCAATAAGCAATTTATTGATCTTTGATCTCTGAACTGATTTGCTCGGTCCTCCATCCAAGATCGAAGCCGCTTGGAAAAAGAATGATCAAGGCAGCACAAAGGTGTGTTGCAGAATTCAGTTGCGACCGCAAGAGGATCCAGGCAATCCGGGTCAAGAATCTGCGCAAGTTTGTGAGGCCATTCCTCTCCACATGACATTCATGAGTGGGAGTGGATAGGCTAAAGGCTCTTGATACCGATACCATCGAAACACAAAAGCGAGTCTGACTTGGTATCTCCTGAAATG